AAAACAAGGGAACATGTATTCACTCAATCCAGTTATGTGAACTCACCGCGTTTGTACTCTTTGATTAGGTCAGTGATTCTCAGAGACTGTGGGGATGGCTAACAGAGAAGTTTCTGCCAAATGTATACAACCTAAACTGGTATAATGGCCTAAAAGAGCAAAATGATGTTTACATCGCCAACAAGATGTCCATATTGATTGGCATGCCTTGGATGCGACAGTTAAGGATTCGTAAAAGTGTGTTTGATTGTATAACCTTGTTCTTTTTTTCGTTATTTGGTTAGCTCAAATCACGATCCGTCTCAAACTACTATGATGCTATCCTTCGTGCTTTTTTTTTTTGCTTTGAAGGTCGGTGTCACTCAGTTCCTGAAACTATACCAGACTGCTACTATGACTATTCTCCAGATATAGAGGACACAACAGAGTTGAGTCTTCCAGGGTGGCAGCCACTTTCCAATAATATATCTTGGCCAAAGGCACTTCGAATCTGTCCAAAACCCTGGCGTTACCACACAGCTCAGACGCTGGACAATGATCCGGTAAAAGCCGTGTATAATACTTATGGAGGAGGTGGATTCGTAGCCGTCCTGGGTTATGATGAGCAAACAGCAAATCGTGTCATAGGTGACACTTTTGGAAACGGCTGGCTTGATCGAAAAACTCGTGCTGTAGTCTTGGAATTTGCAGCGTTCAACATCAATACGAACCTTCTCAGCATCATAACGTTTATCTACGAAATGATTGCAGCTGGTGCAGCCTACACAGTAATAAGGGTGGACACCCTCGAGTTGTTCAGTACGGAATCGGGAGCTCTCATGTTTTACCTCATTTGTCAGTTCTTATTCTTGGCAATGGTGCTATTTTACTTCATCATGATGTTGTTTCACCTTTACCGACAACGGTTGGGATTTTTCAAGTCTATCTGGAATATGGTTGACTTTTTGATGATTGTCTCTTCTACAACGTCCGTAGCGTCCTACGTGATGAGATCTAAGACTATATTAAACAGTATCAACGCAATTAAAAAAAATCCCTTCGAAATTATCCATTTTCATTCTTCATTGAATTGGGCCAGCTGGGAAAACGCTTCTATGGCTCTGGCAATTTTTATGGTTACAGTGAGGCTTTTAAATTTGATTCGTTTTAATCCTTATGTCATATATTTGTTTTCATCGTTCCGTCAATCTGTAGGCTACCAACTGTCCTATTTGGTTTTCTTTGTCATAATATTCAACGCTTTTGTTATATCAGGAATGCAGCTTTTTGGAGGAGTAGTTTATCACTATTCTAGTTATCTACATGCTGTCATTTCACAATTTGAATTTCTGTTGGGAAAAGCGGTCCCAATTGCTGATCTTCGCAAAGATAAACCTTTTATTGGCCCAACTTTTGTTCTCTTTTTCATGCTAATAATGACCATATTTCTTATGAATATGTTGGTTTCTGTACTGAACGCGTCTTACACTGACGCCAGGGATAACGCCGAAGAAAGTGCAGAAGAGCTTGAAATGGCGCGCTTTATTGGGGAACGTTTTATGGATTTATTCCAAGAAGGAAAAAGGCGACCTGAATTAAAATTATTTTGCGACGACACAACTTTTGTTAACATGTGTCGCTCCGATGCAGAACCATTCTGTTTAAATTCACGGAGTCTCCTTCAGTGCACGGAGGAACGGTTAGCAAAATTAGACAAAAGAATAAGTGCACTCAACAGACGCACAGAGAACATCGGTGGTGATGACCAAAAAGAGGAGGAAGAGTTTCTCTTTCTCCTTGATTCAATGTTTATTTCTCATTGATATTAAGATGGGTTATTTTTTTCATTTTGGGTCAAGTTTAACTCGAACTTACTCTGTGAGTTCTCGATTCTTCATTGCTTCGTGACTACACTTTGATATCGTACAATATTTCTCTTCCTTAAACTTGGCCCTTGGCATTTTCATCATGACAATGTGATGCGATGAAGTCCAACTTACTCGTTAACCCTTTACTCCCTGGAATTAGTATGCGCATAATCCATACTGTTCTCTAAACTTTTTTCTAAGGCACTGATAGGAAGAATTTGTTTAACAATCAGACGGTTTTTTTAGTCGGTGATCTTTTCCTTTATTCTCACGACTTTCATGTTTGATCCAGGGTTGATAGTGTAAGGAGAAGCTAGATTCTCGTCACTCTTAGGTATTAAAGGGTTAACGTGCCTATCCAGCGCAAAATCGCATCGCTGCTTCGAATACTTGGAATCATTTCTTAAAGAAGGGTGTTTATAATAAAACATGAAATTGGGCAAAACCGTGCTTGACGTTGTGCTTTCAAGGTATTTTTATTCGCACTTTGTTAAGTGTTACCTTAAGTAATAAAGAAAGTATTCTGAAGCTGTTTTTACCTTCTGTTAATAAAGCAATATTTCCGATGTGTTTTTAATTTTTCCCCTCCTGGCCATAATTGAAAGCAGGTGTCTTTGGACTTCTCAATTTCGTTAAGAGTCCCAGAGATGATGGCCCTTTCGTCTAATTCTTTTTGAGTTGTAGGCTTTGTCGTATATATTTGTAAGGCTTTTGAATTCATTTCCGATCGATAGTTCGATACTGAAGTTATATTTTGGCATTACTAATATATCCTAGAACATTCCTCGCATTTATCAGGAAAGTTTCAAAGAATTCGAGCATACACGAAGGCGATTGTAGCAAGAACGCAAGCACGTATACTTTAGAGTCTGTTTAACTTTTATCGCAAACCAAGTAAGGCAACCAGGATTTAAAATTTAGTCGTTTCTCCCCGGGCTCAGTGGCGAAATGAGGCCCATCCTATAACAAATAGCAAAGAAATGGAAGATTCTAAGGTACTAAAATAACGACCTGCGAACTGGATGACTCTTAAACTGAACTAATTGATTTACTCCATCTAATTTTGTGTGTTTTCGTGTGCTTTAACACGTGAGGGGGTTACAGGTTTTGCAGATTTTGCAAAGAATGCATCCGTTTATCCTATTACTTAGAAGATGGACACGATCCAGCGAGTTTTTATGGCCTATTGCGTTCTGATATTGGTCATTTTTAAAAGCAAATGTTTGCTTAAGCAGAATTTAAAGTTTTAAGCGTTAGTGAAAAAAAGAAAAAACAGAAAAATCGAGCAAAGAGTGAGCCGCTAACGTTAGCCTGAAAATGGTGTATACGAAAACAGAAACGATCTATTCATTTTCCTGAAAGGATTTAACCCTTTTCTATCAAGCCACGCATACATCAGTTAAATTTGCATGACTACTGTTGTTATTTGATTCTTGTTGAACTTAAGAGACAACATTATGTAACTGTGTACATTGCAAGGCTGTTTGATTTGACACATATTGCAGCCTAAAACACCTACAATGATTCCCGATTTCCATTGCAGTGAACCGTTTAAATAATAATAAATCCCAAAAATCCAGCATTCTGCTGCAAGAGCAACACTGAAAAAGTGTCTATCTTTTAAGATCAAAACTTGCTTAAGAAATCAAAAGTTTGCATTCAAAACACACCTCAGGACCAGATCTTACTTTTTGGCTGGAGAATTCCTTCTCACTCTATCATCTAGCCCTTGTTCCTCCGTTTGACGAAAGCTAGTGTCGCAAACACAACCTTTGCCTCATTTATGACCGAAAAGAATTCTGGGAAATTCCACCACAACTCGGGAAGGAAACACCTCACATTTCCATTTTGACAAATTATTATAATTGTCGGGCCACCCAGTCCTATCAGCAAAATATCACATCCATCAAGACTTTTGCCGCTCAAAACTGGCTCAAAAAGCCTTGGTAGGTCCTAGTAGCCATCTACAGATGGGCCAGAGAGACGACTTCACTTGTGAACTCGCCAAACCTGCATGAAAGCATTTTGGCGCTCCAGTCTACATGAAACCACCTCTCACCTCTGTTTTTTTTTCATAGGCTTGCCTCTACCCACATTCCAGCTTAATGATGCTGTCCTGAGGGCGTCTGTAGAGGAAAATGGCTCCAAAAACACTTATAAACGCGAGAAAACGAATCGATTTGAACGCATCCAAACACGAGCGGTTGATCTAGGTCACGTGACCCCAAAGTCTGAGCCCATGGTGTCACAAAACCGCAAATATTGTAAGGGATACCTCATATAGCGACAAGAAAAAGTGAGCTTAAGTTTTTTTTATGGCCAATTATAAGGTTTTGTCTGCTGGGAAAGGGTTAATGAAGAAAATTAAAATCACCTGACTAAGGTATTTGACACGCTCAGGAGACAGGTATGGCGAGTCTCGAGTTAACCCAATGGTTAGGGTTGGGGTTGCAGAAATCCATTGACGTTTTTCCAGTATTTTGATTTTAGGGTTACAATTTAGGGTTAGGGTTGCAGTTTAGGGTTAGGGTTACAGTTAGGGTTAAAGTTTGAGCAACCACAAGTCAAGTGACAAGCATTCTCGTTTACCTCCAGCACCCTGAGGCAAGTAGCCAGATGACACTAGTCTTGCTGAGCCCAAAACATTTTGCAATAACCTGATTATTTAAAAACTGTTGCTTGCACTTTTTTTTTTCAATCCCAAATTGAGCCCTGCAAGGCTTTTGAAAACAATCTTCCCCTTCTAAATCCCTATTCTTTACTAAGATTCACACAAAACGATATAGTTTTACTAATATCATAATTAGTTAACAGCTTGCATAGTTAGAGACATGAAAATAGCAAAATTGTGACAAAATTCATTTAAGCCTTAATGATCAAGAATTCAATTTTGTTTTTCATATTTTCGGAAAGACAAATGTTCCAGAGTTTTAAAAGGAATTGGAATTTGAAGTAAGTTCATCTGTGCGTGATAATTATCTCAGATATGTGTTAAATTTTGGATATTTTTCGACATTCACGCTTGACATCTCTGAATTATACATGTAGGGGGTTCAAAACGTTCCAATTCGGCCTCTTGTTTGCCAAGTTTGAAGCTGATAAGCATCAATGGATCACATTTTTCAGACGCGTGGAAACGTTTAAAAGTTCCCGGCATCGCTAGACTTCGTTTTTGTTTTCTGGGTTCTTCCGTCTTTTCTTGCGGTATTTTTCCAGAACCATCTCACTTTAACTAATTGGCCACTGTACATTTCCAATTAAAAACCTTGTAAAAGAAATTTGAAACGAAGCATTCGAGGAAAAAACACCACTTATGCATATCAAACCGTCGGAATAAGCCAAAATTCCCACCTGAAAAGAATCCCTGTTCAACGACTAGCATGTCAGCTTTTTGACTAACATTTACAGTACCACGTAGAACTTGTCAGAGTGCTCGTACCAGAGAAATTAACGAGTCCTCATGTAGTCACGTCATGGTTATTCCTAACTGACACTTTTCAAAGATTCTGAGGTCTCTCGCTGAACTAAGGGGAAAAAAAATACTTGGTTTTTGATACTCACCTAGCTTACGAGGTTAGATTTACCATCCCAAGCAAAACTTGTTGAGGAGATCGTGCCAGATAAAATAAGCCCTTGTTTAATCATAAATTAGGAATGAGTCTTTTTACATAAAGTAGCCTCGGGGTATCTACTTTTGCATTGAAAAAGCTGCCTTCCAGTCAACCGAAACTTACTTGCGTGTTTAAAACGGTTCATCTTAGTAGGTTGGCCCGACATTCATTCCTTCTCGAGATTTATTCGCTTTAGTTATTCCTAACTGACACTTTTCATAGATTTTGAAGTCTCTTGTTGAAATAACGAAAAAAAGTGCTTGGTTTCGGAAGGTCCCTTTGCTTACGAGGTTCGTAAGTAATGGAAATGGTAAAACGATAATGGGTCTTTTTAACGATCCTCAGTGTACAAACTAAAGGAGCATGATCGTGATCTTGGTTATTGTCTTAGGCTTTAATCCTATGCCAGACAAACTTCAGTGTACTGGACTTCGTAATGATTTGTAGTTGTTCGAATGTTAGGGTTAAACATTGTCGCTCAAAGGTGCCAACTATTCGTCAGTCTTCATAGTTGTTTTAGCGGTACTTTTCTGGGGCGGAAGTCTTTATATTTAACTCCAAAGAATGACTGGAAAAAAAGGCAAGACTAGGAGAAGTAGTATGTGTGTAGCACGTGTGTACACTCACTAAGCGCCTTAGATAATTCCACTATTTATCATATCTATATATGCTCGAGATTGGAGATTTAAAATCGTGCAATAATTTTCCTGACTCTGTCTAACCAGTCTGATCATACTTATGTAAATAGCTCCAAACTTGACCGATAACGAGATGAGAAATTGCAAAAGTAGAGCTTTAGGATCTACTCTGCGAGGGCATACATTTTATGTTGAAACTTTACAGCTCAGACCTATTTTATTCTGAAATATCTCTATAACTTTTACAATCTTTTATACCAGCTGTACTATGACGACCACGCGTTATCTTCAAATTGCATTCTTAGGGCTGAGCATACGCCAGTCTTTTTCCGTCATGGCACGTGCACTAACTGGAGTAACTTGTCAAACCTTCAAATTTGTCGTTGATGAAGATATCGTCTTGAACCACATTCTGGAAGATAACTTATTTCAGAGACTGACAGTTCGAAGTGCCACCTAGTGCCATGCGATATGCAAAGATAACTGCTTGTGTATATCCATGAATTATTTCCCTCAGTCCAAAGAAAACAACTGTGAGCTTAACGACGCTAACAGAGAGATGGCGGCGGCGGCAATGAAATGGAGACAAGGAGGAAATTACTGCGGTTTGGTGAGAACATACAAATTGAAGGTGAGCTGCGACATATCATTGTATTTCTCATTTTTATTTAGTTGTTGTTTTGTTTTGTTTGTTTGTTGTTCTTTT